CGGCCACATCACAGCACCGCACTCGGCGTACATCGGGGAAGGGCCCCGTCACGCCACTGACGCAAGAGCCGGCGCCAGGTCCGCCGATGGCCGGCGTCGCAGCACGGCGGACCTACCGTGATGGTGTACTCGATGGTGGAGAACTGCGGGATCAGCTCGGCCGGCTGGTGTTGCTCCGTGATGGAGGCGTACTGCGGCGGAAACTGGCGGCGCGCGAGGCCAGCCCACGTCACACACGGCCCCCGCGTGCCACGGGCCGCAGCGCCACCGGCGCCGCGCCGCACCACACCCATCGGTCGGCGGCACGCTCGCACCGGCGGTTCCGACACCAGCCACATCAATGAGCAGCATTATAATTACGGCTGGATGGCACTTCCATGTCGGAAAATGACGCACTGTAATACGACACGCAAATGGCTTTTTATTCATACATTATTACATTTCAAGGGCCATCCAAGACACCTAATTACATGCAAACTAAGTGAAACTGAAGAAAATAAACGAATAACATCGGGTTTATCGCATTCCATTTCGGTCAGTGAACCTTAGTAAGCCTCGCGAACGGAAAGCACAGGCTGGGCAGACGGTATAAAAGTTAGACATGTTAAGCAGACCTCGAAGTCTGTTCGTACCAGGGAATTAGCCAACTCGGCCCTCAGTAACATTGCATCCACTTGCCTTCTTAAACCTATCCGTGCAGTTACGTTTCATATCACCGAACACGAGCCACGGCAACACTCACCTGGTTACGCTGAAAGCAGAAGTTGCAGACCCAGATTTTGGCGCGGTAGTCCACCTGGCAGCACGGGTTGAGGATGGCGCGACAGTTGGTGCGCGTGCACACCACGGGATCATACTGCACCGGCTGGAGGTCTGGCGACGACAGGCGAGGCCGTCAGACAGGGGTCAGGCTATACGTCAGATGACTACGTCGCGCCGGACGGTCAGACGTCTGGTGATGCTGAACTGACCCAACCATCCGGCCAGGGATCTGATGATAATGAACCGGTCAGATCATCCGGCGGAAGGTCTGGTGATAATGAACCGGTCAAACCATCCGGCAAGAGGCCTGGTAATGCTGGAGGACCGGAGCCTCCGGCAAGAGGTCTGGTAATGCTGGAGGAACCAAACGAGCAGGCCACGGTCGGTGTTTCGTGCAGACAACACTAGTGTTCCAGCTGAACACAGGTCGGCTGTGGACGGGCCGTGGGGCCGCCCGTGCGCACGTCCGCGGCGCCAGCCCCACCTGGCCTCTCCTTGAGCGGGGTATAGAGTGCCGACACGGGCACTACCAGGCGCGTGGCCTCCAGCCGGCTGGACGGCCAGACGTTCCACGTCAGGCGCACGCCGTCCCGGTCCTCCTGCTGCTGGATAAACTCCTGGTACGTCGCCATCGCTCACTGCAAGACAGAGGGCAGAGTTAGGGCCCCTGATTTGGCGCGATCGCCCACCATGACCCGCAGGGCGGGCCACCGCACACGAACGGGTCCTCTGCAGCCGGACCCCCGCCGACGGCGGCAGGGCAGGAGTTCTGCCGCTTGGGAAGATGTACGGTCGCACCACGCTCGACTGGCGAGGTAAACAAACAGCTTTCCTGTGGGGTAGGAGGCGAGGGCGATGATGTCCATCCCTCGATATGTCCGGCACCCCAGGGTCTTTAGCGGTTTCCCGGTCCGACCGCTCAGTGCGGGAAAAGTATCGCACATCGCGGCGGCGCGGTGACGCCAGACCGCCACCCCGCCGCTCAGTGCGGGGAGAGCATCACACATCGCGGCGGAGCGGTGACGCCAGACCGTCACCCCGCCGCTCAGTGCGGGGAGAGCATCGCACATCGCGGCGGAGCGGTGACGCCAGACCGTCACCCCGCCGCTCAGTGCGGGGAAAGTATCGCACATCGCGGCGGGGCATCGCGCATCGCAGCCCTTCACATGATGGTTTGGATATCGCCCGATAGAGGGCTACCGTAGCCGATTCCGCCCGTCTCACCCGACGAGTGACGTCACGCGGTACATCGCTGCCCTAGTTGAGCGGCTGTGGATGGATGTGGACAACGCTTTGTTGGAGCACACAAACTGTACCGCGTCAGCACGACCTCGGCAGCAGGCGCATTAAATAATTCAAAACTTTGATCTCTGGCCCGTGGCATCGGAAATAGCCGGTTACTCGGCAGTAGCTGCGCGGTAATCGTGGAAGGCATTTCGGGTGCCCGCTGTTTGGTATTGCGGGCTATGAACAAAATCCGCGGTACTTGGTTCCGTTGTTTACTGTATGTGTTGGTGATGTTTCCCAACTAGTTTTTGTTCAGGAAATGATGACTGATGTGTAAGGCTGACTGATTTGACGAGTGCTCCAGGTAGACGCGCATGTAGATCTCCAGCTCCTGCCACGCTAACCTATATTATTGGTGGTTTATTTGGCTGTTTCCCCTCACTTCTCCAATTGCAAATGCTTTCACACGCTCTCACAAACAGGGCTTATTCCGAACTTTACATGCCTTTCCTCTCAAATAGATGGTGGGGGCCGTCTCATCAGCTGAATCCGGATACTACTCCATGGTCAGACACGTTCAATGGCCCAGCCTACAAACAATTCGTTTCAATTAGGTCCCTTTAAAACGGGGGCGTAGTTTCCCAAGATAAGTTGGTTGGCTGAGCGATGAAAAACAACGAAGAGCACCGCGATAACATGCCAACAGCTTGGTTTCACTCCGAATTTGGCTCGCTTTTCATAAATCTGCAGACTGCAACCCAAATCACGGCGGGGGATGAGACTGCTGCAACTGAATGCGGAACCGCACTCCCGGTTGCAAGTAAATAGGGAGTAAAAAAGCAAGCGTTGACTGCGAACGTATTTCACCGCCTGCCACAGGTCATGCAAAACACTACGCACGTGCCACGCTGAAAGGCGTTGGTGATTCACCATCTCAACAGTGGAGCTGAGTGTATGTCACTGAGCTAGTTTGCCATATATAAGCGGGATAAATTGGAAGAATCGTGAGCTTGCATTCGCCATCCACTTCATCAACCTTAACACGCTTTATTTCTTTTACGCCTCAGAACCTCCTGAATGTAGCATTTGGGATCCAGCAGCACCAGTCTGGGGTTTATCGAGACGGGTGCAGGGCGCGCCTGAGGGGCGATGGGGGCATGTTGGTTAGTGATTAGGGTGCTCGTCTCCGGACTTTTCTGTTCTGGGATGTAGTCCTGGCCACACTACCACCGCATCCCACGTACCTAATGCCTGATAAATACGCAACAGAGGCGTTCTGACTCGAAATGGCCGTGACAGCCGGTGAGACGTTAAGCCTCGATCGGTGTTACAGCCCGTCCGACAAACGGACCGACGACCACCAAGTTCGCAATGCTTCCGCTCAATCACTGTACATATGTGGGAATAATAATGTGCAATCGGTTGGACGCGGAGCCCGGGCACACAGGCCCGCCCAGAGGCTGCCCAGCTGACGGTCCGGCCGGCAGCCACGCCCGTGGCGGGCCGGCGAACGAGGCAGCCCGGCCGCCAAATGAAGAGCGCACGCCGCGCGCGCCGTCCATCGTCCGAAAACGTAGCCTCGCCACACGCGCGCGAGGCCCGTCGGTGGGGCGGCCCGTCCACGGTCGAAACACTACCAGCTCAGTCGGGTGTGCTGCCATTTTCGCGTCAGAGCCCGAGGCCCCTGACACGTCGGACATCCCAGCACTTCGCCCGTGCTGGACCGGAGCTGCCTCCCGCCCCCCCCCCCCCCCTCTTCCTCCTTGGCCCCCTCCTTCTTGACGGGTGTCTTAATGGAAGTGTCTCGTATCAATCAGGCGACCAGCACCGGACAGGATGCCTCTGCCCGTTTTCTTCAGCGTCCAAATGCGTCGAACTGGGATCCCTGTGCCGTTTATTTAACCCGCTACCCTTGGGACCTTTTGGGTCGTTGAGTGGCTCCGCGTTGATCCAGGGTCAACCATCCCGGTCAGAGGGCCTTCGGCGTCAGAGAGGAGACCAGTGTATCACGTGTATCAATAGTAGCCGGTAGGCAATCAGAAAGTGGACGGAAAGGACCCTCAGCCCAAATCGGGATGTCCACGGGGTCTTCAGTCTTGGCTGAAGCCTCTGTTGGAGCTCTAGACTGGACTTTACAATTCTGCACTTTGCGAATCTGGACGTTGCACGCCTGGACCTTATAAATGCCCCCAATGGGCACGAAATGGGGCATGCTGGACGTTATGAACACTGGATGTTGCGATCCTGGACGGTATGAACACCAGACGTTGCAATCCTGGACGTTTTGATGGCTCCCCGGAATGGTTTCATCAACTGGAGCCACTTTTTGAGTCTCCTAGTGTTTGTATCCTGACCAAGTCCTGGAAACTACAGTGCGTAAAATTTACACTGCTCAAATATCTCATGTCATTCACACGCGTGTTTTTATAGTCCAGTGATTTCAGGTAAGTCGGGTACAATGAACAATGCCTCTGCCTATTTGTAGGAGCTGAATAAAACAGTCAAATTATAGCAGTTGACATTGTCTTCAGCTAAGGTTGGTTTGAGGCGCACGTCCATCATTGACCATTTTGAGGTCAACGTCGCCTTTGTATCAGTAAGGAATGCACAGAATATTCCAGAGCCCGTGTACACCTTGACGGCAATCATCCGGAATGCACCAGCGAAAGCCTGGTAAAAGCAACGTCGACCAATTACCACGCGCCACGCCACTAACGATCCGCCAACTGCAGCACGTTACCATCACTTCAACGGTCACTAGTCACTAGCAATCGAGCCACATCCATTCCTACGCAATATTTGAATGGAGAAGAAGGCAGGAGGGCGGCTTTAAGGAAAACATCGGAAACGGTCAACAGCGACAATAGGCACAGCCGCTCCTATGAACGCCGCCCGGGACGCACGACCAGTCTGCTTCAATTGGCAAGTCGCCAGCCTCTTTCCCCTCCGAGCACCCCTAGCCTCGAACAATCGCTTCCGATTGCACGTCAACGCTGCCCGGCGCCGCTGGTCTATGACTTCACCGAGATGAGGATGATGAGGAGCAGCACGATGAGCCCAGCCAGACCGAAGATGCAGGACATCTTGCGGCCACGCCGCTGGTACTGGTCGGCCTTCTGCAGCTGCCGCAGGCCCTGCGTCACCTTCACCTGGGTGTTGTCCACGTTGACGTCGATGCGGTCGACGAGCTGCGCCTGACCAGCCACCATGCTGGCGAGATCGCGAAAGATGACGTTGAGCTCGGTGATGGAGCGCACCAGCTCCTGGACCTCGCGGTCGCGCTGCTGCAGCGCCGCGCTGCTCTCCTCCAGCTGGAGCAGCTCGCGCTCGCTGAGCGGCGCGCCGTGCTGCATGAACGCCCGGTCCTCCTCGCCCGCGTCCGGCGGCACGCTCTCCTCTAGCATCATGGCGTCGAAGTAGCTCTGCGAGCGCTGCTCGCGCTGCTGGTGCCGGCGCAGGTACTGCCCCTGCGAGCTGCGAAACTCGCCGCTCAGCTCTTGTAGTCGCGTGGCCAGCGCCAGCACCACCTGGCGGCAAAGGCGCGCGGCCGGCGGCGGCTCAGCGCGGCCAGCGCGCTGAACCAGCAGCAGGCTGCGCTGTGCGCGTGCCAGCGCCGCCGTGATGTCGTGCTGGAGCGCCTCGATCTGCTGCTCATCGGCCGTGCTATCGTCGAGCGTGGGCCGCGTCAGGTGGCGCTGGCGCAACGCGTCCAGCTCGTGCAGCCTCTCCTGGACGTCGCGCGCGGCAAACTGCACCTGCTGCACGGTGGCCAGCCAGGGCGGCGGCGGCGCACCGGCTTCCAGGTCGGCCTCGCGCGCCACCAGCGCCTCCGAGTCGGACGTGCCGTGCGCCGAGTACATGTGACGCGTCTGCTGCGCGTTGTTGCGCATCAGCAGGAAGACGTCGGTGAGACTGCGCGAGGCCATGGCGGCGGCGCCTGAAACAGGAAACAGACAGCTGGCGCTGACGCTCACTGTTTCAGGCGGCCGCCGCCAGGGCCGAGCGCTCAGCCCGCCGGTCTTGGTAGCATTGCTTTACGACCGATGTCGCCAACTAAACAAACAACGAACACTACAATACGTATGCAAGAAGAGCTTGTCCACATATGTGCTTGATTGGGCAGAACCCACGTCACTGTGTGACAATAAACGGTCCTTAGCCTACAAATCGAGTGATCCATACTACCATATCAAGCAGACCAAAACTTCCACGAGACCGCAAAATTCGCCTTTATCGCCAGACGCAGAAAATGCTTAGAACAACTACGACGTCACCACTTTCCCCGGATAGTGCTGCTTCAGGACCTGCTGTACCAAAATATCCCGAAAAGCTGCTGCACTCAGTCAAATGACAACCCATGGTGTTGGTCACATCTGCGAATCTGCCGCTGATTAATAAAGCCAGACGCACCACAAGATAGGAAGGTACGCACGAACTCAATAAACACAACTATGAAAGCAAATAACCAGGTGGCCCGGACAAACTGATGACGTCACTGACTTGTGCATCAACACACAAAGGAAGCCGACTGGTGCTCCCAATACCATCATCGATCCACCAGATCCCAGGGGCTTGGCCACTGGCGGGGGCGGGTGGAGGGAGGATAGCGTGCCCACGGTGGCCGTACCGACCATACTGTTTCCAAATTCAGATCCCTATTCCTCGGTACACCGTCGCCCTAGCACCATTGCTTGGACCTCAGCTCGTCAGTCTCGTGCCATGTTTGGTGACGCCACCGCTAGAGCTACGACATGTACCGTCACCCGTGAATAAACGAAAGGTCGTGTTTCGATTACTTGTGTTATGAGCGAGGCCGCTATGCCAGCGAATACCACCTGAACAAGGACAAAATTACAGCATGAGCAGGCTAACCCAGCCCATCCCGGTATCGGCATCACGCTTACAAAGAGCTCATGCCTTTGCATCCACTCATCACAGTTTGTGGTCTTCAGCAACCTGTAGCGCCTCCTTCTGAACAGTGAGCTGGAACTGCTATTGAACTAGGGTGGGAGTGAAATAATACATCACAAGGCCATAGAAGAGTGGGAAATTCAAGTTACAATGTTGGAACTTGTGAGTCAGTGAGATATGCACAAGCAAACAAATACTTGCATTTCAAATTGTCATGAATGTAATATCAGAAACATGACAAAAGTGTTTTTATAACATTCCAGCCCATGACAGTGAAAAATAATGCATTAAATAATAGCATTTCATAATAGTGTAATGAGCATGAAAAACTATGTAGCACCAATGTTTTTATGCTGTACTTTGTGCATCCCTTCCACATGATTTTTTTAATGCAAAAGAAAGCAAAGGAATTCAACAACAAAAAACAGCAAGCAAAAATGCAAAAAGCATTCAAATACAAAACCTTGGACTCCTCCATGTCAGCACATCACCAAATCAAATACCACAGCAATACCTCCAGCTTCTGTTAAGACAGGGTCAGGAAGTATGAATATCATGTCATTGTTTCTTGCACAATAACAATGCTTATTTCCATGAATGTAACCTAACTAGGCTTAACCTAAAGAAGCCCAACCTTCTCATTCTGTCTAACATATTTGTGTCACAGCAGGATTTGTGAGTCACTGATTTTTGCAAAGTTCCTACTGCCACTTGTCACAAATTTAACCAACTTAGGCCACCTCAGAGTAGCCCATATGCTGAACATCATCCTAAGTCACCCAACTATTTCTTGCCACAGCACTTGTGATAAAAACATGATAAAGCTCATTTTTAGCTGTTTTCAACTTGTATTTTGCTTAAATTAATTCATGTCAGCTTGTTGACAGCAGATGGTTAACAACACACAAGTAAAAACCCCTCAAGTCACCTTGAACAACTTATTCTGACTGTCATGGTTAGCCTCTGTCAAGGACAATGGTGAGTATGTTCCACAAAACATTCTTTCTCCTCCAAATATAACTTATAGATGGCCACAAAACCATTTTTGCTGCAGTCTCAGGTGCAACAAGGGCATCCATTAAGGTTTGGTCATTCATATTTAATGACTTAAAGTTTGAGATGTTGGCTTCACATTTCAAATGGGATGGTCTATTTGCTCAAAACCATACCAAAACCAGGGAATCACAATTTGTCTTATGAACAAAACCTGATACATTTAAACAGGAACTGAATGCATCTGGTAACAAATATGATGAAAGCAGGTTAGGTTTGCAATTAGTCACTCTACAGGAGAAACTGCATTTTAGGGGCAGGCTTCTTTCTGCTCCCCCTACATGAAAAGTCAGTATATCTTGTATGGTTTGCTGACAAACAGGGTCATGCAATCCACCCATAAGATACAAATAACAACCATACCCACAAGCCTACAAGCTAAAATGCATTTTGCTAACAAACACTTCTGTATTAGCTGCGTCAGGTCCATGCCAAAGCTATGTACAGCAAGATAATATAATGCTGTGAGGTACTGAAACTGGAGTGGCTTAGATTTATCATTAATGAGCCCCACCATGAACCAAAAAACGGCTAACTGAGGGTTTCGCACAGCAAAAATGGCAGTAAAAATGAGTTTGGTACTTCAAATTGTCTCCTTCATTCCCCACAAATTGTTCTCTCTTGGGTGGTGTCAAACATGTTTAGGCAGCTGGTGAATGAATCCAAGTTATGTATGAAATATTTGTAAGCTTGAAGTTGGATAATTTTGCACAGAAATTCATCAAAATTTTAAGCTATAGATGATGTCTTTAAAGATGACTTGGAAAGGGAGGAAAAATGAAGCTGCATCACACTCACATGAGGTCAAGAGAAACAAAAATAACCAAATAGATATTGTGACATGCTGTATGTGCATGCCTTGGTGATTGTGCATGTACTGTTGGTGTCACATGCAGTAGTGGCTTGCATGATGGTTGTGGCTTGCATGATGGTTGCTTGGCTCATGTAGTCATGGACATGGTTGTTGCTGTGTGCTGCATGCCCTTATGCTAGCCCCCAAGGCTGCATGATGTGTATGGCTTGTTGCCAGCTATTGACCCCTTTGCATGTTGTGCAGGTTGAGTGTCTAGTTCAAGAGTGTACTACTTCCTGAATAAACCATAGTTTGGCAGTTGTCACAATATAGACTTAAAGATAGTTGGTCAACTTTTGTAATAAACTAGATTGATTGGACATCTGTGAAAATGAGTGCTTACATTGACCTTCAGCTTATAGATTTCATTCAGGAGGCATTTCTTGAATTTTCCACTGAAATATTTTATGGGTGGTGCAATTTAGTGGTCAAGTTTTTTGGGGAAAAGAAATATATGGAGTGAAGTTCTCTATCAGGCTTTTCTGGTGTTCACATCAGGCTTTGCTTTCATGCAGTGTTTTCATTGTGTGATGCCCAAAATTGGGAATTTGTGAGAACCTTGCATTTGGCATACAGCTGAAAATTGTGATGCCATCCCCACCTATTAAAATGGCACAAAGCCAGTGCTAAAGCCAGATGTGAAACATGGCTCTGAATGACTGCACCCCAGGGAAATCATAAATTTGACAAGCATACAGCCAACTTGAACATCACTCCAAAATAACTACACTGTAAGGCAATTGTATAGCTAGCATGGTATCAGTAGGGCTGCGGGGAAAGGCATCACCTGTGGTTTAATTCACTGTCAAAGGTTATTTTTGAATGTGGGCAGTCCAGCTGGGCATTCACCAGCCTTCTAACCGCTACAGAATACCTGAGCCAAATGTTTGACCACATTCTCTTTCTCAGATTGTGCATGTGCAGTATTTTCTTCAAATTCAGAACTGTTCATGATAGAATGAAAAACAGACAGCAATTTGTTCCGGGTTTCATTCCACATCCATATTTAAGATCCACTTGGTTGACGTATTTCTCATGATGAGCACACACATTCTCAGCACAACTCAAAAATTGAGCCAGAGCAGCCAAGGACCTAACAAGCACCTCTCACAATTTTGTTGGCACATCACATCTGCATCACAGATGAATATCAGCTACGAACATTCAACTCCACTACATCTCCATTCTCTGTTTTCTCTGAGGAATAAAGCTAAAACTATTATATATTGTCTTATCTAGGAATATCACAGCTTCCATTTTGCTTCACCATGGCTTAAATCATTAAAAGTGGATTGTTTTTTACTGGAATCCTTACCACCTACCAACCATATGGTTGAGAACTGAAATACCTACCTATCATATGGCTGAGAACTGAATTACCATCATGTTTACAAGACGCAAACACTGACTGAATTTAAATCCGTACAAAAAATTGACTCTGGCTCGGCCTAGCCGAATAACTAAGCCACCCACAGCGCAGTTCTTCAGAACTGCGCTGAACACCGCCTGGAACCCATTGAAACCGCACGGAGTACACAAACATTCACTCAGTACCTACCAAATAGGGCAAAACTTCTTGTATGTACTTGTCAGACTCAAGAGTATGCCTGCTTGATGTACAAAGACTCCCCACTCAACTCCTCGACCTCCGGTGCAAGGGCCGACACCTCTGGAATAAGCAGAGGGCTGTTTATCCATTGAAGTTCCACGTATTATTGCAACGTGATCGAACACGCAGTGCAGTTAAAGGTTTTCCTTGCTGAAGCGCTATGATTGGTCAAAATATTACTGTGAACGATATGATTGGCGTAGGGGAGGCCTGTTTGGTTAAAAAGTCAAGATAAACGGATTGCGAATATCACGCACGGCGCGGCAGTGTCATCTGCGACCACGTCGATAAATGTGAGCCATGTTACCAAAAAGCCTTTAGTAAATGAGTGTTGCAGACATTTTGCCTTGGAAAGGACATTAAAGCATTGAGTGTACGATTCCCAAACAATCTGCACTGTTCGGTATCTATACCATACCAGGATATTTACATACTCCAAACCATCTGCTGTTTCTACTACGCCGATTAAATGCTTCATTGCAGCTGCTAACAGATTGTTACCCATGCGGAAGCGGAGGCTGATGCATTCCGAGAGCCGAGTGTTGTCAAGTCGTGATATATATATATATATATATATATATATATATATATATATATATATATATATATATATATATACTCAACAGGGCCGGGGGGGGGGGGGGCGGGCACTCAAATGTCGGCCAGAAGGCCCTGCGTGCTGATCAGGGGCCCACTGAGTCGATAAAGGCCTACATTTTGGTCAGACGCCACCAGTAATGCACAGTAGGCTCCGTGGCGGCATGGGCCTAAGGGCCCATTTCCTAAGCAAAGAAAAAGTCGGGGCCGGTGATTTGCATTGTTCGGGACCCCACAGCGCCTTATTGGGGCCCCGTGCTGTCAAGGGCCCCCGGGCCCGCAGGAAGCAGTGTTCGGGAGGTCCGAAGAGCCTAGAAGGCCCACCGAGTTCGACGATGAAAGGCCCGTTTGGAGGGCCTAGGGCATAAAGGGCTAGTCGGAGTCTTATGCAGGGGCCAGACCTGCAATTATGAACCCTCATATAATGGTCAGAGGGCCCTTTGCGCCGATCGGGGACCCCCTGAGCCGATATGGGGCTAAATGTTGGTCAGGTACCACTGTACCGCATAGCCGACCTGGTGTCGGCATGGACCTGGGGAACCACTTCCCAATCAGCCATAAAGCCAGGGTCAGTGGTTTACACTGGTCGGGGGTCTTGTATCTGTAGGGGG